GTGCAGCCCACATATGGGCTGCGTGGGCTCCAAGGTGTTAAGTGCCAAATGTGGCAGTGGTCCGACCATAAGACAGCTATGGATTGTAGGCCTTGATACCTACTGGGCATTCGTGGGATCCATCGTTGTGTTACAGCCGTTAATGCCATAGGCGCTCACGTCCACGTTGAAATAGTGGCGGTGATCCTGGATCGAGGTTGTGTCAAGCAGACCGTCACTGCACTCATCGCTCTCATTGGCTAAATGTAGTCTTTTAGTAAATAGAAACAAACGAGATTAAGAGGAATGGGCCTACCGTAGCATACTGTGTAGTTGTTACCGACGGTCATGTTCAGAGGATAGAAGGCCTGAAGAAGATTCCTCTGCACAAGTAGTACTGAATCCATTTGGCGACTATGTGATTTTCCTTGTGCTTGCTGGACTGCAGCATATTTATTTGCTCCTCGATGTTGAGACGCGCTGTCCCAGAAGGCAGTTTTTTCGACCAACATAACCTCAGGGGTCACAGGAATGGCGTCGATTGGCGCCAGAGCTTTTTTGCCACCAGTTTCGCTGTTGGGTGGAACGGGGTAACTTTATGGTCTTGAAAACGATACGGCATTCACTTCTGATGCCAGCAAATTAATCATGAACTGAGAGTTGAGGTATCAGTGGCGCAATCACCAGCACCAAAAGGCGCGGTGTCAAGAACGGATTCTATGTCTATGCTCAGGGCCATCAGTCACCCCTCTCCGTAGGTGTAAGCGAAATTTGTGGCAAAAAAGAGATCATCGTATGTGGTACTAATTTGGAGCTCAATGGAGATGGCGCCATTGAGCAAGGTGTCTATAGTACTAAGGACACTGCTGGCAAGTTATGATTACTAGAAACTTGAAACTTGCAAAGGAATTTTTTTATGCTGCATACCCACATCGAGCCGCATTCTCCCACGTGGCGAAAAGGTGCGTCGTCGCATATGCCGCCGATGGGTTAGGCTCTCAAGTGGCACACTGTATGGTGGTTTTGACATCCCATGAATCTCGCAACGGCACCACTACCAAGCTTAAGTGCGAGTTGGAGAGCGCTAGAGACCAAGATGAGGCTAGGAAGGTTGCACTTGACTTGTAGCAAGAATGGCGGTTCGGTTGTGTGTGAATGGGTCAGCGTTGCCGTGTGACCGTGGACAGGTATCCGTAGGGAATTTTGCCAGTTTATTTCTAATGTCGCTATTATTTGCCGCATCTCTTGCTCTTTTTCAGTTAGTGAGCGAATTGGGACTAACCAGGGAAGGCATTCAACTTCCCATGGAACTTTGAGATTGAGACCCAGATATATCGATAGAGCTTCAAACGCTGATTACAAATATGGAAACTAAAACTGCAAAATGAACCTGCCAAGGAAGTTGTGAGCAGTCAAAGTTGGCTAAAGTAAAGCGTTACATATGAACCGTGCTATGTTCCAGGCTTTCAATGTCGCCGCGGAGTAGCGATAGTGCCCCCGCTCTCCACCCGGGAGGTCATAAGTTCTCTTCCCGTTGGAGTGCAAATTTTGAGAGCACTACCACTACTCCACGGCGACTTTGAAAGGGAGGCTAGCACGGTTAATACGTAACGCTTTACTTCCAGCCAACTTTGACTGCTCACAACTTCCTTGGCAGGTTCATTTTGCAGTTTTAGTTTCCATATTTGTAATCAGCGTTGAAGCTCTATCGATATATCTGGGTCTCAATTCAAAGTTCCATGGGAAGTTGAATGCCTTCCCTGGTAAGGGGTACATGTAGAAATCAGGATAATATGAGGTATTGAACAAGGAATTACGCGACCGGAGAAGGAATGGTAGTAGGGACGCCTCTATGTCACCATGTTTGATCACGAAAGACACCTCCTTGCTGAATGCAAGTATTTGTTTAGTTTAATTTGGTCCATATTTACATATGATCCAAATACTGGGGTTAGCCGGTCTTTCCTTAGCCAGCCGCGGAAACCCCTGGAACTGAGTGCCAAACGAGCCTCTGAGGCGTGATGATAGTAGTCCAAGAAGTTTTCGGGCGGAATATGCGGCACCACGTCTCTCCAGTGCGTTACGCGGAAGCTGTATGCCATCTGAAAGCAGAGCATATTTCATGGTTTCATAAGAATTCCATCTGTTCTCCGCGAAGGCTAGGCAAGCATCGGATGCTATCGCCGCGACCATCAGCTGATTCCTCGAAAAGCTACTAGCAAGTGACTCAAACGATGTGAAGTACGGTACCACTGTAAAATGTACAAGCTAAAGCACCTGTTCGTCATGAACCCATGCGTAGCGATGGTCACCAACTCGAGGTTGTCCAAATGTGACCAATTTTACGCGACCGGATGGAACTCGATCGTTAGCAATGATGAAGGAGGCGGCCAGTGAGGCCAGTGCAGCTCCAAGAGAGTGCCCCGTCACCTTAAAAATGTTCGCTCATTTTCTCAACAATTCACTAGTTTCGAATGATGGAGCGTTTACATGTATTTCAAAATGTCATAATTTGATGCGTTTCAATCAAAAGAGTGCTCGGAGACCCCCCTGAGGGATTACTTCTTACCACCTAATTTCATCATGGTGCTTGAAACTAGATTTCGTTTACTTACCCAAACATTGTACCTAGGATACTTTGCTCTGAGAGCTATAAAATCGTCTCTCATACCGGCGTTCCACAGGTCCATGAAGCCGTCGTAGAAGTATTTCGACACGTATCCGCCAGAGCTCCACTTCATCTGGTCATCATAATAAGTTATTAAGTTTATAATAGCATACAAAGCTTATATCTTTGAGCGAGTCTCACGGAGGGCGCCATGCACTTCACCACAATCTCAGACTTGAATGATTTCACACTTACTGATACTCGTAGCGGAACGCTACCTCAATCATCACGTTAGGTAGCAAAAAAGTTGGGAAACAATCTAACTACAACATTTGGGCAAGGCTCATATGGTCATGCGATCACGATGAGCTCCCTTCTGATCGGCCACCTCATCGCCACCGGTAAAAGGTGACAAGACGCAGAGCGGAGGTGTATGCAATTGCTCAGGTCCCCCCTTCCCCTCATAATCGGATCCGCAATCTTCATTCATTTTATGCTAATCCCTATAAACGCACACCGGACGGACTCACAAGGGAACCGAAACCTTCATCAAGACTAGTCATGTGAGCATTGCAATTAACTTCGAATTGAAAAAAAAATTATTACATATTTAACTGCCTCAAGCGATAACTCATAGCCATATATTCGGAGTTTTTGCACATTTTGTGCTTTGGCAAACAATCGACGAATAATCACCAACAATCCATCTTAGTTACTTCTGGCTTGCTGGGCGATCGATGTGTTTGTCTCGTTAATTTCGGACTCGGCCATGACTTCATCTTTGAAATTCATTGGAAGGGGGAGTCTGGCATGAAAGGGGCACGACTCCTGGTCCCGACAGAATCTCAACCAACTTGCTTCGTGCAGGCGGTCATCAACTTCACGCTCTTCTCGCTAACCACTTCACAAACTCTCTTCAGAAGGAAAGGATCCAAGACCAGTGGAAGAACTCACGCAAATCATCCTCACAAGGAAGGACCCGTGTGATCCTCGCCAACTGCCGTCCAATTACGCTTGCTAGCGCTCGCGTACAAAAGCTATCCACTGAGATCCATTCTTCACTGGATTTCAGCATCAACTGCACAATGAAGCCACAACCTACTGAGCAAGCCGAATTTCGTCAGGAATCCAGCTGCTTAGACCACATCAGTCAGTCGCCATGGTCATAGAAGTGTGCCGAGAATTCCGAAATGCCTCTTGTCCTTACCTTCGTCGACTACGAGAAGGCTTCTAACAGTGTAGAAACGAACGCGATCCTGTCAGCGTTAGTCAACCAAGGAGTGGAACTACCCTACATAAATACCAGCCGACTGCCATGGTCGCTGCACTGCAACGGTGCAACTCTTCCAACGAGCACCCGTTTGGGGGAAGGCGTGAGACAAGGCGACACTATCTCGCCAAAATTGTTTACAGCAGCGCTGCAGCGTAATAACTTCGTATAGCATACATTAAGAAGGGCATTCGTGTAACGGATATTATACTCTGAATCGGCCAGTTTTTTCTCCGCCGATAACATCGTTCTTTTCTCAAGTAGCACTACGGAAGCTGAGACGATGCTCGCTGAATTGAATGAAGCAGGAAAGAAGGTGGGGTTGCAGATCAACCAAAAAAGACACAGTTCATGAAGAACGCTTGCCGATGGAAACGGAATCAATATTGACGGACACCATGGACAGCGGCATGAAGAAAGAGCTAGGAAGGCGACAGAGAGCAGCGTGGGCGGCCTTCGGTCCTCTGAAAGAAGTTGCCAACCATCTGACTGATCCACAACTTCGTGCGCATTTGTTTGACTCTACAGTTCTTCCAGCGCTTTGTTACGCGGCAGAGACATGGGTGAGCAGTGCGCATCCACGTCAAGGACTTTGACTGTAGCTCACAGAGCGCTCGAGCGATGTCTTTTGAGGTTTAATAGATTTACTCAATATCGAGCTGGACTCCGCAGCGCAGACCTACGCAGAATGTCCCGTCTCCGAGACCCTGTGGAGTACATGACAAACGCCAAGCTACGATGGGCCGGTCATATCATGAGGAGAGCAGATGACAGATGGACAAGAAGAACGGTAGAGTGGGCTCCCGTAGGATCTTCGCGGTCCAAAGGGAGACCTGCTGCGAGATGGGGAGATGCACTCGTCAATCACATAAAGCAGCTGCGAATGCAGCTAAACGATGCTTCAGATCGCCGTCTCCGCCGACTTCTACAACAACCATGGATGCGATTGCGAAAGAACGAAACGAATGGTTTGTTGCTGGTGCTCGCAGATGAACTGAGGACGAGCCGTATATAAGTATAAGTATAATATAATATAAGTATAATATAAGCTATAAGTAAGTGAGAGCCTTGGTACTGTCATAATAGAGTTTTTAACCGATCTCCCTAAGATTCCACACAAACATCGCGCAAGTTTGAATGTCGCATTAGGTATTGGTGGTTAGTGTCTCGTAAAGTGCACGGCGCACACTAAAAAACTTTGTCCTCGATGTTTTACGAATAATGTGCTGCTTTATAAATATTACCGGTAATGATGAAGAATACCTTTTCGTGGAACACACTCAGGTCGGCTTCTGCAACAAGTTGGAGGTAGGTGTCTGTTCCTCTGAAAATATGATTCCAAGTGCTACAAATCCTTGGAAACCTTCTTTCGGGATGATTTTGAGAAAATAATTTTCATTTACTTTTCTAACCTGAAACTGATAACAATCGCCTTGTTGCCGTGGACCACGGCCGTGAATCCGGAACACACATCGTTGTTTGCAAAGGGACCACATGTCACATTCAACTGACGTATCAACTGAATTGTCCTAGTACATCCTGTAATCAAATAATGACAGGTTCTTGAATCTGACTACTCTCCCTACCGTTGCGTTAGCAAAGCGATTCTCAAGGCACTCTTGTGGCCAGTGACTGTAGGCGGCTGCTGCCAGCGGCAGCATTTTCGTACGGGCGAATTTGTCCGAATAGTCCGCTCGATGAATTTCCATAGGGGAAGTCAGTGTAAATTGGAGAAGGCTGCATAAAGTGAAAATGCGCAACGTACTGCTGAAAATATTATACTTTCATACAGAATTCATTTTTTGGATATTGCACCAAGAGAGTCGGAAGCTTCGGAACCTGCCAGATAAAGATAGATTTCGAAACACCTGCGAAATTTTCTTCGACCATGCTCTAACACTGACCGGTCGTTTACGATCGTGAAGCTGACAACATTTCCCTCGCTCGCTCCACCAAGAAAAGACTTTGCCATAGACGTTCTACGTCCGTGACTGACCACTTCTTCTAGGGACCTGTCATTTCACAACAAGCAGTAAAGTAAAAGAACGACAATTCCTGCCAAAATGAGGAATGACTAAGTGCCAGTGATTGCCTTAAACTGCGCTTGCGACTGGACTTTCTTGAACATAGGGAATGGGGGGCTAATCAAGCAGGAGTAAGATTCTCCAGGTTGGCCTGTGGTCCTTAAGGCGCCTCGCCCCCCCCCCCCCCAAACCCCCCAAGAAGAGCCGGGGGTTAAAACTTTGGAAAAAACTTTTTTTCAGAGGCAGTCAACAGCTGTTCCGTCGAGGATGAACTTGAACCCCTATGTGGGCGAAAGTTAAGCTGAAATCAAACCCTCCTTAATTGACTCCGTTACCCTTGCTATGTCCGACCTGAAACGCAAACAGGTTAATATGCAGTCCGCCACATGAACCCAATGAGCGGATACCGCTCATTTCAGAAAGGGTATGTTCTTTTCAATTGTCTAATGAACCTCCAGCAGCATTTTAGTTTCGCTGCTGCTTCGCGTTTCGTTGTTCCGCATAGATTGCAACCAGGAAGTATTTTGAGCTATTTTTAGAAGTTCGCCGTTGCCGGTTTCGCATACGAGTATACAGATTTCAGCCTCACGTCGTAGTCCACCTCCCGTACACTTTTTCTGCATTATCGGTAAGTTGAGTGCAACCCGAATTTTGAAATTTTTTGGGTCGTGAGTTTTTAAACCCTACGTCACGCAACGAGAAATACTGCGCCGGCGTTGGAACCACCGTGATCCGACATTACCCAACGGTTAAGGTGCGGGTCATCCACTACACTAGAATGCACTTACGATATCGTTAACTTTTAGCGGCTAGTCATTTCTGAAGAAGTGATGTCCGCAAAAGTAGTCAACTCGTATCAAAACTGATTAGAACACTGTGAGGAGCGCACCAGTAAGCTTTTCCGCCGCGAAGCCTCCATCAATCAACTCCACATGGCCGATAGTCTACACAGATATTTTCGGCTTCCTATTTAGCAAAGTATTATACATATTTTTGATGGAAAAGTTCTTTCCCTGTATCAAAAGTATGTGGACATTCTGAGGTAGACTAGACTAGACTTATAAAGCTAGAATAAGTCGAGTGTCCCCAGCAGTGGAATCCTTTAACACAATGCGTACCAACCCGCTTTTGCGCGGGCGAGCTCGTATGCCACACGGGCCAAACAGTTTTCAAAATTCTTTTTGAAGACCGCTTTTTCACTTTTTAGTTTGTCGCACACTTATCACCGATTGATAACAGGGTAGGGCAAACGTGAGTAGGATTCCGCATAGAGGTAATTCTAAGTGCCCAATACCACGAAACTTCGGAAATATACCGCCGAAAGACATGTAACGTCAAAAAGCGCTCCGAAAGCCTTACGCTGATGTTTTGCTGCACATCACTTTATTCACTTGAAAGATTTGGTTGAAACACATTATTGCGATTCAGTTGTATTACAACTAGATTGCGGTGACTGCTGAATTTGCTCGAAAGAATGTTTTATTCAAGCAAATTTAATTAGCAATCTAGGCTCTTATTAGAACACCATGTACAAATATTAGCTAAATCAAGCTGGAGATGTCCCACTCAGAATATGTTGTTCTCCTAGTGAGAAAACATATATCTGCGCAAATATGGAATAAAAAAATGACAACAGCTGTGGAAAAAAACCAATTCAGAAATCGTGCGCCACCATGTGGCGCACGCGGCCTACATGGAGCAGGAAAGCCGTGCGTTAGCATGCGGCGCCCGCGGTACGTAATGTGTTTAAAAACCGAACAGAAACATTCCATGAACGACTCTCTATTAATCTCGGCATGACAGTATAGTATTAGTTGTTTCTGTTCGAGCTTCCGAGATTGATATAGAACTTTATTTCGGCTTACGTTTCGGCGCACTCGCCTTCTTCGGAGCCTGCAAATCGAAGCATATTCTTGAAACAATTCATCCAAGCGTCATTTCAGATTACAAGAAGAAAAACTAAGGGATAAAAGCCATGAACGATAACGTAACCCGCTAACCTTTACAAAAGCCGAGAGCTGGAAGGCACCCTATGAAGGTTACGTTATCGTTCATGGCTTATTTATCCCTTAGTTTTTCTTCTTGTAATCTGAAATGTTGCTTGGATGAATTGTTTCAAGAAAGATGCTTCGATTTGCAGGCTCCGAAGAAGGCGAGTGCGCCGAAACGTAAGCCGGAATAAAGTTGTATATCAATCTCGGAAGCTCGAACACAAACAACTAATACGAACAGAAACAATCAGACTCAATTTCAACCTTTAAATATGTTCTAAATGAAGCTAAGAGAAGTTTTAAGGTAGGTACGCCTCCGCCCTTCCAACTTTGTGGTCAGAGGTCAAAATATTGTGGGGAATTCATCTAGCGATTTTGTATCAGAAATTTCTTCACACAACCAGGAGTTTGGGTCGCGTTTCTAGCCACAATTCCATTGAAGTGCGGAGTAGTAACGGTGGAAAAATCAAGCTTATTGAGAGCAACATCATTTATCAAAGCAGTTGCCGTATGACTGGGGGTGGTTGGAGGCGTTTTAGTAGCATTGCTTGCTATGAGTAGCGCGAGGCATGGTCAGATGGATCACAGCTCGACATATTTGGGACGAAAGGTAACAACCCATTCCAAGGGCACCTATGGGAAAACAAAAATACAAGTAGGACCTATAAGTTTAAAAATCAAAAATTTTGACTTCAACACAAGTAAATACCTGATAGGCTTGAGCTCGAGCGACCAATTCGGGGATGTTCGAGACACCAGCGTAGACCAACCAGTCGCGTGCAACGCCGATAGGTGAATCGAGTATCATACATCAATGAAAAAAAACAGCATGGAACGTCAAGGACATATTATGGACGCTCGCTCTAAGTGCGGCTCATATTCCTTCCACCACCTGATTTGACGACTGTTCATGAACCTCAGACCTTACGAAGACGAAACGTGTGTAGAAAAGGTTGCAGTTATAGTAGTGAAGATAAAATATGCCAACTCAGGGTGTGTAATGTGAAGAATGGGGCCAGAAATGAGTACAGAAAACAAAAGGTTCATCCATAAGCGAATGAATGCCCATAAGGGATTGAAGACAGGAAGGTCATCAAGATTCTGTTTCATAGCTATGCAATAAGTCTTCTAAACATAGAATTTGAAACACAGCTATGAGAAGTCTCTAGACCTTGACTCTAAAGTCTACTTGAAATGCGAAAGAAAAGTACTAGTGGCGCTGGAATTATAAATGCTAAGCTTAGGATTCTCCAACTTCTACCTTTTTGTAACCTCGGCATGTCAGTTGTAAGGTTGTTAAATTTCTTGTGCCTTACGAGGTTGTTCGGTGGAACATTTATTATGGCCTAACGTTTCGACTGAATCGTCGTCTTTAGAGGCCTTAACGTGTTTCAAGTGTTAGATTTACGCTTTACACCACCAGGCTCAGTAGGGAATAAAGAATACCCATACTCTCTACTTATGTCAAAAATAGTTAGGAGACGCACGTAACGCTCTGTCATTCTACAGCTCGCAGTGCGGAATGAACGGCAGTAGATCATTTGTTATTGAAGGACACTCATCGCGGCTGTTCATTCTTGGATTTCTAGTGAATATCCAGAATGCTTCTAATGCCTTCCGCGCGGAAATTTCCGTCTCTTGAGCCAGCACTTGAATTTGTATTCATTCCCATTATGCTCGTCAACTTTGTGCCTTCCCAAAGGAGTTATCGTAGTACCGCGTCTCAAACAGGCAAGATATTCCTTGATTCGGCTTGCTAAAGCGATTCCTGACTCCAGAATGTACTACAAAGTTTAGAATACTATCTAGATTCTCGCGACATCGGCCCATCCAATTGCCGTCAAACGTGCTGTTGTTAACAGCATGTTCAGAACGGCAACAGGTGATGTCGACCGAGCGGAATCACGACAGCTTGCTGTGAAAATAGCCGTTGCAAATGGCTATACGACACCACAACCTAGAAGACGGCAACATGTTGGCCTGCGAGAATACCGCGATGGAACTTCTATCCCTTTTATATCAGATAAGGTTAGCAATGCCATCCATCGGGGTATAATAAGAGCCGAATTACAGGAAGATGTTCAGTTGGTGAATATTCCTAAGGTATCAGTCGCCCTATGAAACTCACTTAAATGTACAACCCAGGCAGCGGTCTATAAGCGCTACTCTTCGGTCTGTAGTGTAGAGCTTTAGAGGACGATCACAAATGTGGCTTTCCCGTGCACGGAACCAACCGACAAGAGCGCTTGGGCCTTGCAAAGTAAGCTGCCAAGCTGCAGACTTTTTTCTCTTATCAGGCTGTTGTCTGGCGCTCTCTCATCTGTAGCGCTCTCTCGCCTCATACTCTCCTCTCCGCGCTTAGTCTCTCATTCCCTTAGCACAGCCGATTAGGAAGGTGAGTGAGCCCTTAACCTAAGCGTTTTCGACGGATTCTTTTCCTTTTTTCTTTACTGCCGGCCCATTTCGCACCAATACATTCGCATTCGTGTGCAAGAGCCACACCAACGTGTTCCTAAGGCATGCCTTTAATCTAGTCAGGCTTGACAAAGGCGCTGAACGTCGAAAAAAGGCTTATCAACTGTGGTTCTGATAGTAACTCTGTGTTGCTTTATTGGTTCAGTATATATGCACTTTTCTTGGTATACAAGCGCTGTAACAAAGTCATAAAGTGTAACAAGTATGGTGTGTCGGAACCGCTACCGGTTTTCACAATTCATCTTCTGTGGCATCAGTCAAATCAGTTAAATAACGTGCACTCAACGCGACGTCGTCGATGTGCACCCTTTTTTCACACTTCTACCGCTCTGGTCAATTCGATGCAGGTCTGGAACGTGTTCTCCAATGCCATACCTACTCACCGCCCTCTTTAATTCAAACTTTAATTACTGCTGAAGATTTATTTCATTCATTCAAATGACTATGGAACAAAACAATGACATGGGACCGCCAGTTGTACAGTTTAGGTAACCACTCTAGCAGCATGACAGTAAAATAATGCATGTTAAAGGCACGGATCGCAATTGAGTTGGTGCCTTATTTCGTTTAACAAGACGAGAAAGGCGCAAACGAACCTTGGTGGGAAAGAGAACAGAAAGAAGCACCACTGAAGATTCAGGTATTTTTGTTCTGACGATTCAACGTAGTATGGCGTAGGGACGGCGTTGAGGGGAAAGGAAAGACAGAGAGCACGACGTACACGATTAGGCGCAGACTCAACGATTGATAAGCTATCACTACTGCTTTGAGCTGAGGATCTGCTACCTCACGCTAGAAGGAATTTCTCTAAGCATCTAATCTTGACCAGTGCCTTTAAGTCTCAGAGCAGGATCGATTTGAGGAATGTAGGCTTTGGACGAAGCGTGACTGCAATTTGAGAGAATTACGGATTGCAGGCCATGATAGCTACTGTGCATTTGTAGGATCCATTACTGTGTTGCAGCCGTTAATGCCGTAAGCGCTCACGTCGACGTTGAAATAGTGCAGGTGATCCTGGATCGACGTTGTGTCAAGCAGCCCGTCACTGCACTGATCGCTCTCGTTGGCTAAAAGTCGTCCTTCAGTAAAAAAGAACACAGAATGGAGCGTTGGGCTTACCGTAGCATACTGTGTAGTTGGCACCGACGGTCATGTTTAGAGGATAGAAAGCCTGGAAAAAACCATTTCAGCAAATAGAGTCCACGAGCATTACCCACTGAGAGATTGTATGGCGCATTGTGTAGTGGTAAACCGACATCTTGTACGTCTCTCATCGACACCACCACCAATAAGCGTGAGGCGGGTGCTGAGAGGATTTTGGGAGGGTTAATCTGTAGCAGGAACCCGCAAAAGAATTTAGAGGCTTTTTGTGGTATTATTTTTCGTCACCTTCCCCTTTTCTCTAGTTGTCGAGTAAGTTTCGGGAACTGAGAGGGTATAGAAGCTAAAGGAATAGCTGGAGGCGAAACAGTAGTATTGCACAGACATCCCCGCCACTGTGCTTGACCTCTACAATCAGTTTCGCTTAGCTTGATAATCGAGGTGTTTTCGCTGACTACAAGCGGTTGGTTGGTTTATGTTGCTTCACTGGCATGTGTTTTCTTTCCTAAGCCACGAAAAGTCCGAGGTCTGATTGCTAAACGAACCTCTGATGCGTGATGGTAGTAGTCCAAGAAGTACTCGGGTGGAATATGTGGCACCACGTCCCTCCAATGCGTCACACGGAAACTGTACGCCATCTAAAACAGGCGACTCAATATCTTCTTTAACAAAATCCCAAAAATTTCGTATCTCATGTTTCCCATAGAAGATTATAAGTTCAGGAACATAGGCTGTATACCGTAACCCTCTCGACGTTGCACTGGGGCGCGCAATGTCACGTGTCATCGATTTTCCATGTGTGCTCGGCACCCACTTATCGTTTTCTCTGCGTTCTCTCAACGAGAGAGAGAATGCGTCGAGCAAACTCGCCAACTATATTAGCGCAGTTGATCAAGAACGCGCGTAGGATAGCACGCACGACGGTTTGGTCTCACGTGGGACGAGGCGCCACATGGGGCATCGTTGATCTTATTCGCTCGCAATCTAACAATGGCATCGCTTGCCAGAGGACTGCAACCGCGCCCTGGCGCCAATGTTGGTTACGGTAAACATCCTATGTTTCTGAAGTTATAATCTTGTTCCGTCCACCCTCCTACCTGTGGCAGCACTCAGGTTACCGAAACTCAAAAGCAAAAATTGACCTGATAAATCTACAGTACGTTATTAGCTCCACAAATACCTGTACATCATGTGCCCATGCGTAGCGATAGTCACCAACTCGTGGTTGTCCAAATGTGACCAATTTCACGCGACTGGATGGAACCTGGCCGTTAGCAATAATTGAGGAAGCGGCCAAGGAGGCCATAGCGGCCCCAAGAGAGTGCCCGGTCACCTGGAAAATGTTTCGCCTTTTTTCAGTGAGTCACAGTTTCAAAAGATTCAGAGTATGTGCTTCAACATTCTGGAATTCGATTTTTTTTCTCCGTAACTTAGTAATCGATTATCTCATCAAATTATTGAAATTCAGACTTGATTTGCTCACCCAAACTTCGTACTCTGGATATTTTCCTATGAGTTCGATAAAATCATCCCTCATACCAGCGTTCCACAAACCCATGAAACCATCGTAAAAGTATTTCGATACGTATCCACCAGCAGTCCATTGAATCTGGTAACAGAATAAATAGAAACAAAGGACATAACATCAAGCCTGCCTACCATAGCGCGCCATGCACTGATCGCAATATTGAATTTTAAAGGGTGAACTGGGTCAGCTGATGGCACTAACTTGCCGACCTACAACGCAGCCTCATCTCGAGCTCATCTTTGAAATTTATCGGGAAGAAAGTAGAGAGACATTCAGCGAATTCCCGTACGGGTTCCTTTGTGGGGATAAAAGGATAAAGGATAAAGCATTTGCCGTTGATCAATCCCTTTTTGGGATGCGGCACGCATTCTACTTCCATTTGTACATTCGTAGTGGCGTTTGAATGCGATGTGGCCTATACAATGACTTGCGGGGGCCAGCCGATGTACAAGTCAGTGTTTTTTATCCTCCCAGACAAGTCTGGTACCAATTAACCGACCCCGGAGGGATGGAAGGCTTGGTTGGCCCGGGCGACTCACGACCCAGGATTTGATCCCCGGACCGCTCGCGTGGTAAGCGCGCCACTTGTCACTACACCACTTCCGCCCTTTGTGGGAATGTTCGCATAAATATTATTTTACGCACCTCGCTATTCTCTATGGTGCCCTTTTGATTTGATTAGGGTTTCATGCACAGAAAAGATAAACATCGTACTGATTGATCGATATCAAATGTCTCGCCAAGCGCATGGCGCATACTGAGAAGCGCTTGTACTTTATAAACTGGTGATAGTTCTATCAGAGTGTCCCAGAAGTTCGCACTTGTTTTGCCTTACATCTGCTTGTTGGTGTCCACCATGCGATATCTGAACGGATAGACCTCCTACGCTCAGGAGACTACGCCGTGGCTGAAAATTCCGGTCCAGGAGGGCAATCAGACCCCTATTTGGACCTACGTGCTCTTCCACTCAATCCAACCCGCGCGATTTAAGTTGTCATGTGTCCGCCATATTCAGAAACTTTCAGTACGCAAGTGATAGAGAGCCGCCTTTTTTGGAAAATTCCCGAGACTTGGTCAAAGAAATCCTCATGAGTTGACCACCAGACACAAGAGAAGGGCTCCGCCTACATCCTCCATCCTGCTGTACCGGTACTCGGGGCTAAGCAAGCTGATACTGCAAGCTGAAAGTGATGGTATTACGCCAACAGTGGCTGTTTGATCAGAAGTGGCTGAAAAACTATCACATTCAATAGAAGGTTTCCGTCCACATTTGGTAAGCTGTTCGCGTATGAGCCACTAGTTTTTGTTTCCAGGAGCTTTCCTAGCTATAGCCTTGCAACAAGGCAAGTACTCTGTAAAAAACGCCTCAGAGCGGTGATGAAACCCTAATTTAGCGCTAAAACCAAACCTAACACCTAACAGGTTCTATATCTAGTCCAGAGGGCGGAAGTGGTGTAGTGGCAAGTGGCACGCTTACCACGCGAGCGGTCCGGGGATCAAATCCTGGGTCGTGAGTCGCCCGGGCCAACCAAGCCTTCCATCCCTCCGGGGTCGGTTAATTGGTACCAGACTTGTCTGGGAGGATAAAAACACTGACTTGTACATCGGCTGGCCCCGCAAGTCATTGTATAGGCCACATCGCATTCAAACGCCACTACGAATGTACAAATGGAAGTAGAATGCGTGCCGCATCCCAAAAAGGGATTGATCAACGGCAAATGCTTTATCCTTTATATCTTTCCAAGACAATTGAGACCAATGTTTTTGAAAATGACGCAACGTCTTTCGGAGACGGAGCTTGGTTGAGAACTTTCCAAAATAATCGAGCAGCAGTGCCACCCGCCTTTCAAGGGCCGTCTATTCCTTCTGCTCAGCAATTATCTTGTAGACAAAAATGTGGTTCAAAGAAGCACCTAAATCGACCTCACTTCCTTTTCCTAGCTTGGAACCGCCAACCTTGTGTGAACCGGAGTTGACTCTTCGATGAGTCGTTGGTAATAAGTCAGTGATAATGACCACTATATAATGATTGTGGATATTGTTTTTTGAAGGGGTAATTCTGACTTGAAGTATTTAAAAATGGCACGAGCTTTTGAGAAACCCTAATGCAATGATTTCTTAAAAAGGTGTCAGTGGGAATGAGGAAAATACCTTTTCATAAAAGACGCTTAGGTCGACTTCCGCAACAAGCTGGAGAAACGTGTCCGTTCCTCTGGAATTTTGACATCGCTATGAAGTTCTTCTTGCAAAATTCCTTCAGGAAAGATTCCTGGAAAATTCCTGGGACCAATCTCTTACCTGAAACTGATGACAATCGCCTTGTTGCCGCGGACAACGGCCGTAAATCCGGAGCATACGTCGTTGTTTGCAAACGGACCACATGTCACATTCACTTGACGTTTCAGCTGAACATACCAATACAGTGAATCAAATAGTGTCAGTTTCTTGAATTCCCTAGCCGTCTCTCAAACCCGACAACCTACCGTTGCATTTACGAAGCGATTCTCGAGGCACTCTTGTGGCCAGTTACTGTAGGCGGCTGCTGCCAGCGGCAGCATTTTCGTGCGGGCAAAATTGTCCGAATAGTTCGCTCTTCGCATTCCCATAGGAAAAGCCAACGTAAATTGAAGAAGGCTGCAGAAAGCCAAAAGCCGCAGCATAGTGCTGAAAAATTTTGTTGTAAAATTGTTTTTGCAGACATTGCACCCATGACAGCACGGAAGTTTCGGAATCTGCCCAATGAGGATAGGTTCTTTGAAAGCCTGCGAAATTCTCTTCGAGCGTGCTTCAATTGTTGTTTTGACGATGACAGAAGCTCATAAATGACGAAAGCCATGACAAAGGGTGACTAAAGCCCATCTACACCCTCTCTTCGAGAGTGGGAAGTTGAGAAAACTTTACTGCAAAAGTAGGCAGGGGGTGTGCCGGTTTTTGAGTGCGGTAGGCCCACAAATTTTCCAATGACGTCACGGAATGCCATGAGAATTCATGACAGAGGTCCAGTTGAGGGGAGTTTTGAAGGGGGAGGAAATTCGGCATGTCTAAATAGGTTTCGTTTCCCCCAAAGTTCCTTGTTCACGATCGTGAAGGTGACAGTGTTGCCGTGCTCAGTTCGCCAAGGAGAGACTTCACCGTAAACGGTGAACATCTAAGATAGCCACTTTTTCAAGAGACCTTCGCTTTACAAAGAGAAACAACCAAAGGATCTCAGCTTGCCATGGCAACAAGTTCAGTAAGCAGTGGCACACCTGGTCGGCGCCTTCGGACTCTGACCTCAAATCTACCTTCCAAATGTGTCCTGAACGGAGTTATGAAGCAAAACAGCACAGCGATCGACATAAATACGTCATCGGATCGTGGTTACTGCTTGCGTTGTTTTTCGGCGGATCTGCTGAATAGACTGGTGAAAGGTTTTTCAGCTGTATTCACGGAAAAACAAAATAGCAAACACAACAGGGAATTGATCCTATGACGTCTTGACTGTGAGTCCCGACCACTACCGTTGCGCTGTTTTGCTTCATAACTCCGTTCAGAAATCGTTTAGCAGATTTGGAAGGTAGATTTGAGATCAGCGTTTAAAACTATGTTCAGGGGTACACGTACGTCCCTCTTTGACTGGCCATGGCGACCTGGAATCCTTTTCTTTGATGGAAGAGGAATGAAAAAATCATTTTTCAGATGAAAAAGGTCCAATGCATACTATGGCTCAGACTTCAGTCGCGCACTGGACGTTTAGCGAATAATACAGGGGCTTGTCTAGGCATAGGCATGAAATCACGGAACTGCTGATCCTCAGGCTAAAAGCGGGCCAACTAGAGTCTTTTCAAGACTTATTAACAGAGGAGGAAGTTGAGCCTCATGCGGATGTGAATTTGATGTGGCATGTTCCCAGCCCCAGTCCCTTAAATTCAAACCTCCCATACCGGTCCAATGGATTAAGGTACCCTTGCCCTATGCTGGCTCAATTCCCAGAGGTTAATTATGCGTTCGCACATGGCGGATCCAAAGTATAATGAAGGGTCAAATGTATTTCAATTTTGCTGAGTTCTCACTTCCCTTTTTTCATTGACAACTGCTTATGGTGGTAAGTGCCTCGAGTTGGTATCTCGAAAGGGTAGATCCAGTTTTGATTTGGCAGATGTTCCCAGATTAGCTACTATGGATATAGGAAAGCAAAAATCTCAGATAACCTTACAGGTAGACCCATCAATGTGGTCTTCGTTTATTAAAGAGATATAGGAAGTGTATAATGACGCGTATCCCATTTAGCCGGTGAAAGTGGATGAGAAGCTGTTTGGCCAGATGGAAGCCCTCCATTTGACCTTCATTATGCCACTCTGTTCCGCATAGGGCGCAATGGAACCAGGAAACAATTCGAGCTGTTTTCAAATGTTGAACTTCGTTTCGTCTGTCGATATTCAGACCTGTGTACATAAACTCCAGCGTCACGTCATTCGTTGTCATCATCCACCTTCTGTACACCTTTTCTGCACTATTCGACCATTTGAGTGCAATCCTAGTGAAATTTTAATCTCAACGTCATACAACATGACGTAATGTGCTGGCGCGCCGAATTACCGTAATTTGACTTCAGCCGATGGTAAGAATGCAGCCACTTGTCACCAGGGTCAATCCTACGTTGTTACTAGTAACAACGGGGGGGTCGTACCTGGTTGAGTTTATAGGAGGGGGGGTCGTATCCGCTTCAGTCGCGTGAAAGTACATGTGAGTTTGTGGTGAAAGTGGGGGGGGGGGAATTTTGGTAAATTTTTACTGTTTCATAGTGGGTATATACCCCCGCTCGACGGCATTTTTGGAGGAAAAAGTGGGCGGAGTTTGGTGGGTTGAGTGGTACCAGAATTAAATACTATAGAGAGGATATGGTGGTCGAGGTGTCGAAAAGGGGGTCGTATCAAATCCACCTTGGGGGAGGGGGGTCGTAAAAATTTTTGAAAAGTAACAACGATAGGTTGACCCTGCTTGTCACACAGCAGAATGCACCTACGGTATCGTAAATGTTTGGAGACTAATCATTTCAGCGAAATCTTATAATCTTACTTATGGAAGGTGCAGCTCATTCTCATCATGACGGTTCCTTCTGAATGATAGGAGGTGTAAAGCCGCGTTTATAGTTCGCGACTCCGGAGATTAGGATAGTACGCGACAGTGAAAAATATGTGTGCACTCCACTTGATCCGGAAACACAAGAGGAAACATCGTCCACTACACCCTCACGCCAAGGAGGAGATCACCTGATTGACTGCGAAGGCCTTTGCGACCTATTTGGGACCACAGAGACTATTTATTCAATTATTTATTTATTTCGACTTGTTTGTTTGTTAACTGCTGTTTTAACGCCGCAGTTCGCGTTGCGAATGTTTCACAAGAATGCTGGGTTGTGAACAAAACTTTCGCCCCAGGCGGGACTAGAACCCGCACCTCTCGCTTTCCGGGCAAGTGCGCTACCAGTTACGCTACCGGGGCACCATTTCATTTCCAACTTACAAAACAAGTCCAACGACGCGTCCCGGCATTCCTGTCAACGACACGGCGTATACCTACGACATTCTCTTAAACGCATGACACTTAGACCGCCTTTTATTAGGGATTGCTAAAACGCAGATGCTCACGGAACGGCCGTCGCCACGGACGTTTTCCCCAATTCGACAGCCTGCCTACTCACGCTGCTATAATGAGGCGCGTCCTGTCTTTGGAGTCGCGCTAATAAAATCGATCGGAAGTTGCAATGATCCGGTTACATCGTGACGTCAGTCCGGCTAACGCTCACGACTGGGTAACGCGTGAGCAGGTCAACCCCCCCGCCACGGGAGTCCACGGTTCTCTTCATTGGGACTTGTGTCTTGCCTCTTTAAAAAGCTTGCACAGAAACGGCTTTAGCGACATTTCCGCAATGACCTGCGCCCCTATACCTGCACATGTGTAAACGGCGAGTTTCATCCGTCGCCAGGCCTTTGACGGAGCTGGTACATTGCAAGGCAACAAGTCTGGCCGCTCAATACGGAGCTTTATTATAGCGACGACTGAAAAACTGAGATACTAGAAGATTGCAGAAATATGAGAAGCCCACAGCTAACAGCACGCAACAAACCCACGAGAAAAATCAGCACTCGGACAAGGCCCGTATTAACAAAAACTCTCCTTTCCCCTTCGCACAATGAAGACGAACGGCCTGACTTGGGGAGCGGTAGGCACCGTACAAACAAAGTTTTCATGACAGCATCATCGTCCGTCCCCTCTTCGGTTGATACCCGGCAACTCGACTCAGACTAATTTCACAAGTTACTGCAGCGATGCACCAATCCGCGAGGGGCGGTCGTTACCGGCGGACCAGGCGGCGAGCGACATCCGTACCATAGCCAGCCGCGCCTTATTATGCACGCGTTTCCCGGGTTTCAGCTGCTCCCGGAACATCTTACCGGGCGTGCCAGTCAACCAAGCCACCCAGGCACGACCCGAAAGCGTGGTTTGGACCAATATCCCGACCATTGCCCTTGAAGATTAATCAATTGCCAGACTTGAAAACGACCGTCATCAGCTCCCCATCCGAATAGTGCTTTACTGCGGATAAACGGAAGTTGGTATTCGTGCTTCAGGACGACCCCACATTTTTCCCTGCCGTTACAAGTGTCAGCACACCTGAATCTGAGATTCTCCTTCGACCTACACACTCCGAGATAGAGCGCTCAACATCACAGTCCAAGGTATGACGCACGAAACACACCTATCTACGGCTAAAGCACCTTCCCTGAATTTTGATGCAGAGTCATGTAAAATTTCCATTATGCATGTGAGCCGTTGAACGTTTCTCTTTTCAAAATCTTGGTTGGAAGGGCAATTTCCATGCCAAGAGTTCAACGATAGGTTGATGATATGATGGTTGACTCACCTCATTTTTTAGGGTTGGGTCAAAATCTCAGATTCGGTAGGAAACTTATCTCCAAGGGTAGTTTGATCTCCTGAACACGAATATCACGCCTGTTTGCCGCGAAAAAGCCATGACACTTGCATTACGGGCACTATGTTGTATGTTCAAAGTCTGACATCGGCGGTAAGGCTTGAGATGCAGCCCAGCACGAGTGACTAGCGTGCGTTGAGGAGCTCTGGAGAGTGATGCTCGTTACTGGCTCGTAGTTTGGCCAACCAATCCGCTTTGCAAGACAGAGAGGACCGTTTTGTTCATAGCAAACGCTTCAAGGTGGGCGCTACGACAGAAAGGTTGACAGACAGTTGAGAATGAAAGTAAAGCCAGTGAGTGAGAACGGGTCGGTTGCCTTCCCCATTGTTTTTCTTGTAGGGCGAGTCCCATGGATGCACGCTAATCAGCACATTCAGGACGTCCCGCCTTACCTCATCGGTGGATTTTGCACTGTAAAATGCGTGGCAGTATGTGAGTATATAATATGTAGTAGTATTTCGGTCAAAACGACGGGTAGGTAAAGAGAAGGTAGCATTCACTCATTTTCCTCGCAGTGGAAACTAAAAGAATTTTCAATTCGATTGTTTTGAGTTACCCACTTGTCTTTCCATTCGTAGCGCTTTGTCTTCACTTCTAGCACTCTTTTCGGTTGCTGAGCAGGACCCGCATGACGCTCCGCCCCCAGTGACGTGACGCCCACTAGTTTTGTTGATGATCTGGATG